AGCAATCTCGGGCGACGGCTGGAGAGAACAACCCAGGGTAGCTGCCCGAGATGAGTAACTTCTCAAGTTGTGGGAAACGTTTTGCCCCTGTCAAGGTGGCACATGACAGGACGCGTTGATACGACGCGCTTCATGTGACGTGACATGCCGCGTTTCATGTTGGACTTCTGCTCGTCACAGTTGTCTGGCGTCACGGCGAATCTTGCTTTCCACTTCTACCGGGATGTCGTTCTCAGTCCCGACGTCGCCCGCGATGACCCGCTCGGCTAAAGCCCATCCTGTGACCCCCCAGCGCCTCCCAAAACACCAGTCAATTTCTCAGTCCTTCTACAGGTCACCACTTACGCCTTCAACAAGCCCATACACGCCTATCAGCCTTCACTCTCTAGATTCCACGGGTTCGTCGACTTTGACGACTCCCGACAATAGCGGTATCGGCGTCAGGAAGCGCCTCGCATTCTCTGCCTTATCTCCAGAGGTTGTGCGCAATGCGAGCGCTGTCAAGGACAAGAGCCTTGCCGATATTGCAGAAAATTGGAGGTCTCGCGTCAACGAGAACAACCAAAAGGTCTCCTACGCGCCTCAAGATAATTCTCACTACGCTGGTGACGAATGTGAGTGCATATATGCGCGGTTCGTTGTTGATTTTTCTCTAAACACGCGCATATAGCCAGTGTTGTGTCTGATATCGACGACTCAATCTTGACTACTGAGGAAGGTATAGGAAATTCACAACGAATGACGTGCATATATGCTAATGTTCTTGTAGCACTGCTTGCCGCGCCATTTCTGTCGACTCACAGAAGGCTGAGCAGCATGCCAGTCATCAGCAATCGGCCTAGAGCTCAATCCCATGCGCCTCTCCCATCTTTGCACGGCCCGCCAGTGTCGCCTGTCACCTCTCGCACTGTAAAAAATACCTCGCAGGCATCGTCTCCTATTCAACACCGGCGCGCATTGGCTTCTTTTAGTCAATCTGCGAATTTAATGTCGACTCCACCTCCAAATCGCACTTTAGCCAGGCAACTCAAGCTTAAGGGAAGCCTCACGGATCCTCCTCAGCCGAGACGTCGTGAGGCTCTAGGAAATGTACGAGTTTAATTTCTTTCTCGACAGACTTTGGTTAATTCATCCCTAAAGATTGCCATCGGTTCCAACCATAATCTCAACATGAGCCTGACTTTGGAGCCTGACACCTCCCTCGACCTCTTCGACATCGGCGAAAATGATTTTGAATACGAACAAGACTACCAGGGCGAGAACTCTTTTTCTCAAGACTTGCAATCTCTGCACTGCAATTCATCCTTTGGATACCCTTCATTTACTCCTCATGCGAGACAAGCGCAATCGCAGGCTTTCGTTCAGGCAGGTTTCGCAGACCCGTTCCGGCCTGTTGGAACCGTCCATGGCGTGCCGCCCCACATGCTAAATGGTATCGCTGAGAGCGTCGAACACCACTTTCATGCGACCCAGCAGCAACCTCACAAATCTTTCTTCGATGACATCCATCAATCTGGACACCCCTTTTTCACCCCAGTTGGACATCATCCCGGTCAATACAACCACGTCATGCCTCAACCTTATTCTGCTCCAGCGTTTGTTCCTATCCCTCATCCTCAGCTTCATTCACTACAACCTACTCCGATGCATTTCAAGCCAGCGTCTGAGAGACCGGTCGTTTTCCCGGCTGTCGAAGTGGTGACCCCGGTTCCATCTCCTGAAACTGCTCCAACGGATTGTTCCGTCTGTCTTGCTTCCAATCCCTCTTCTCTCGCTATTTTGCAACCCTGCGGACACCCCCTATGCTCGACCTGCCTGACTAGCGCTTTGAATATCGTCGGCGAGAAGGATATGCAGTGCGCTGTCTGCAAACGAAGCGTCGCGGATTTCAAGCTAATCGCTGGAATGCCCAAAGGTCAGCCGAGTTCGAAAGGTGCAAAGCTTGGTCAGTCTGCAGGCATTCTTCGCTGTAACATTGCTAACTGCGGCGTCTTCTAGGTCCTTCGCCGTCCGGCTTGACTGGCAAATCCTTCATGGATACACTTTCTAGTTCCCCTTCTGGTTCAATCATATTTGATCCTGACAGCGCCAATAAAGCGACCTCAGGAGACCTCGATAGTGCTTTCGAATTTGGCCTCGACTTTGGAGAACTCCGGGCTTCGACCCCCAGGCTCGAACAACAGCACGACCGTTTAATGGATGGCCGATCACGAATTTCTGTTGCGGGTGTGGGCAAGCGAAATGCCAGGAAAGACGAAGACAACGTAGTCCTCAGAATCGACAACGTTCCTTGGGTATGTTGCCTTCCTGTCTCACCCGAGCCTCTTCTCCCTTATTGTCTCTTCAGGATATCACGCCGAGTCAAATTGTTAAATGGCTTCAACAGCCCGTGGAGCGAGTACATGTTCTCCTTGACGGCAAGGGCAAGACACTCAGCCACGCATATGTCGAAGTTGATAATGCAGCAATTGCTGGTGCCATCCTTCGAGGCGAGGCCGCGACGAGAAACTTGCTTGGTCGCAAGGAACGAGGTAGCGTCCTGGGTCGCGGTCGTCGTGCCCGTGGTGTCACAATTACGAGAAGTGGACAGCAGGAGCTGATGAGTGATGTTCGCTTGTTTTGTTTGATGCCGAACGGAACGAGCTCTGATCCTACTGTGTCTCTAGCTATTCCCGCATTGGCGTGGCAACTTCGATGGATCTCGTCCCTCTCTTGCTGGCCTCGAGAGCGAGAGGATAATTGGCGCCTTGGAAAGGGGATTGCTGACCGACAACGAGATTTCTGGCTTGTTGCATCTCATCAACGAGCCTGATGTGAGCCTCTCTCTTCTCCTTTTCGTTTATCGTCTTCTCAACTGTTGCCTTTTTTCTATAGTCACACTTCCTCAAAGTTCCGTCGCTACCTTTCCATTCCCTGATCAGTATCTTGAGCAAGTTCCCTACCGACGTCGATAGTCGCGTGTTCTGGTCCGCGGGAATTAGGGACCGCCTCTTTGGTAGGATTTATGACTGTTACAGCGGGCCTGTACGCTGACCTTATGTCGCTCTTTCCTTCGTATGCAGATGCAACAAGGGGTGCGTTGTTTTTTTCGAATGCCTTCTATCCACCGTTTCTTACCTGTTTCTCCAGCTGCTATCGAAGCCCTGATGCCTCGTATACAGAAGGCGAAGGAAGACGCAGCCAAGCCCCGTCATGCAGATGAAGAACACACGATGGACCTTGCCGCTGATCTTCTCCGTGCCGGCCTGGAGTGCAAAGGCAGGATATAATTTATCTCGTCATATACCCTCATTCTGATTTCGGTCTACAGCTTTTACGACCCAACAGGTTCAAGCCATGATGGCTCTTGCAGAGGCTCACTCACTGCCGCTGCCTCAAGCCCACGCCGACACCTCTCGCAACTCTAACGGTTCTTCAGATGCTGGCTCGCAGAGTGAATCAAGTGCACCGAGGACTCCGTCCAACTTGGACCATTCTACCTCCAGTGTTGCCTCTACCCAGCAGATGCAGACCCTGAACCAACCGACAAACGTGGCTTATCCTTCCCTGGATGAACTTGCAAAAGAATTCGGCGTTGACGCACAGGTAGTGCAAGCATTGGCCCAGCGGTTGGCCAACCTGTGATGATTTTCTTTCTTGGAAACAAATAGACTTCTGCTTCCCCTTTTCTCTTTAATCGCATATCCCTTGACGGACTTCTTATGCCTGTTTCTCATTCCATTCCTCCTTCCATGCATCTTCATTTCCTTTCCTCTTCATGCCCTGCACTGCCAAGTTGCTATCCCATCGCTCTGCACGTCGTTGTTATCGTCGCTTTGATCCTTGTCATCCGCTTTCCACCTTGCGTTCATCATCATTTCTGCCCCCACTCTGCCGCTGCCTGCTCTCACTCCTACCTCTGCTGCAACCTCCATCGCTCTTCAGTACCGATTCTAAATATGTTTTACATCGTTATCGTCCTTCCCTTCATGCATTCCATTGACCTTACACGCAATTCTCGTATGAACTTGATGCCTTTCTTTGTTCCTTACTTATTTATTCTCCGTAATGAGCTCTGATACCTCCACCCTTGTTCTTTTTTTACTCCGGTAGCTTTCTGTTTATCATGAAGAAAAAGAGTCTGAAACCCAATTCCTGATACCACCATCCCCCGTTTCTTGTTGTTCCTGTACGGTGTTTTGTTTGGACGACCGGTCGTCTTTTTCTCTGCAAGTCAAAAATGTATTCATCGAAAAGCAGGCTCGCGATTCTCAATACTATCACAAGTGTACTTTCGAATTTGAAGACGATTTTAAGTAAAACAGGGGTTCACGTTGCGACGGTTACACGTGACGATGCCGTTTCCCCACATTCTGAGATTCAGAATTTCAAGTTCTTTGCTCCTTCCCTTCACCGTCGCTTTCCTCGACCCTGTCTGGTGTCCGCTTCGATAATCTAATTGAATCACGAAAGTCTGGAGGGAGCTCGTGAGGGACTTTATGGCAGCAACACGACCGAGAGCGTACATGCGAAATAGCATCGAAGACAAGGTACGAGGTTGCCTCTTGTTCTGCTCTTTCGCCGTTAATAAGTGCTGAATAACAGGAAAGCCCATCTATGCACACCTCTCCTACACTAACGATGTCCAACTCGGCTTCCAACTCATCGAATTCACCACCGGAACCCACAACACCTCCGCCGCCCCGGCGATCACGATATCCAGACCTTGGACGTGTGCCACTTCATCGGAGAGGCACATCTAAAACCTATGAACGGCTAGAAGATCTGTTGAAGGAAGCGGGCTATAAGGAAACGCGCATATTCACACCTGAAACTGAGCGTGCGGAGGGAAACGAGGGCTCTGGGGACAAGAGGAATAGTGTGGTGGAGGGAGTCGGAGCTGTCGTTGGGTTCCTCACGGGCCTAATGCCTGGGGGCACAGGAAGTCGGACACATCTTCCATCAACTGCTGAAGAGTCCGCGCAGTATACAACGTCACCACTGGAGTACTCGCCCCCAGTCTCACCTTTGGTCCAGCGTAGGCCGCCGCGATCTGCCACTACCCGGACCAGCTTCGACGCAACGGAGCCACCGACCCCAACAAATTTGACGTCTTCAATCGACAGTCTGGCAGATCCGACGCCAAAGGCGATCCGCCACCAAGCATCAGGATATGCGCAACAACGGCCGTCGTTAGCTCACCGTACTTCAAGTCAGCTATCTCATACGTCCAGCCGGGTGCAGAAACAGCCATCGCGAGCCTCCCTGGACCGCAGTGATACAAGCACCATCGTCTCACCGCGACCATCGCGTGCTGGTGCATATCTTCGGCATATGGCGTCTCGAGCATCTGTCCAGAGTGTGCCGCCACGTCCCAATTCTACCCCGGTTGGCCTATTCACCCGGCCCAAGCTACTTATCACAGACGGCGACTCGGAGGGCCCACCGTCGACATTAAGCAGGCAGGGCAACGGAGAAGGCGAAGATGCTGAGCCACCTCTTCCTCCGAGCTGGCTGGAGAGCGTCGCGCGTGCGGTTCTGTTTGGTGGGACAGGTGCATATATTGGCGGGCCATCTAATCACCCCAGTCTCGAACAACGCCCTCTTCGAACCACACGCAGCTCACTGTCTCAAAAACGGCATCCCAAGTCGCGAAGTGGCCCGTCCGATCAAACCAACCATCTCATCATACCGCCTCCGTTACTATCTAGACTAGAACGCGGCAGATCGCGTGGTAGTGTTGGCGAGGTGTCGCTGACGCAGGTGGTATGTCGGAGCGCACCTGGAAGTCGCTCTGGGTCACTCGTGCGCGACGACGGGAAGGAGAGGCTGCGCGGACGTGGTCGACGGCGAACGGAGACGGACCGCGTGCCCAGTCTTGCACGCACGCAAGTTGAAGGCGACGTGTGGTCCTCTGCCCGTCGGAAATCGGGCAACCGGAACCATGCATCGGCATCAAGCAACGAGAATCGGGATTTAGGCGGCTGGGGTGGGGACACCGAGTCTGGAGATGACCACACGGGACCTGGGACAACATCGGAAGAAGACGACGATGACGGTGAACTTGACCTCGCACGTATCCTCGTCCCGCCAAAACGACAGAACTCTATCAAGAGCCTGAGGAAACACCTCGCAAGCGAAGCCCTTGCTGGCTCGGGTGCGCACGCAACGTTGGTGAAGCTCGCTGGAGGTGCGGGAAGCCGGGCCGGAAGACTAGGATGGGGCACAGGGGCCGCCGCCAGCAGCTCCCATGTGAACCCCAGGTTTGACCATGGGTATGAAGCACCGAGTAGCGCACGCAGGCTCAAAAGCCCGATGGACGACGACTGGGACGGTGACGAGGGCCAGGGGTGGGGCAGTGGGTGGATGAAGAAGCGGGCTGGCGAGGGGTCAGACGACGACGACGCCTCGTTCGCAGGGTTCTTTGGAGAGGGAAGAGAGCCCTTTGAGTCAGGGAGGAGCCGAAGGAGTGCTACTGGAAAGAGCAGACTTGGGTTTAATGGTGCGTGGGGACTGATGGGTGGGGCTGGCGGGGGCTCATAGCGGCGCCGCATTACATTCGATACTCCTGGCTCGGCTTTCCCCTTTCAAGTCTCTCGATTTCCTCTAATGCACTCGACCACGCCTCGCCTCTCCTCGACCGTCTGACGCCTAACGCCAACAACAAATCAAGCAACCAGTCACGCAAATGTCAACCTATGCTGTATTTCTATTTCTATTCCATCGGACCACGACGTCTATTTCATTCACGACACTCATTACGACACTGCGCTTTATTCTGGAACATGCTTAAATTCGCTCTTACTTGCGCACTGTATCCTTCCTCCCCCTTTCGGTTCATTTGATCACTATGTCCATTATACATGCTATCTTACCCTTACCCTTCTCTCCGTTTAATCTGCTCGTTCGTGCCTTCCAAGATTTCGTTCACCCACTGCATTGGCATTCATCCACCCTGTTTTTCATCATCCTTCATTGAACATGTCTGGTACCTCAAACGTTTATCCCAGCGTTCACCACTTCGGACATGAATTCTTCTTCACTCACCTCCCCGCTTCCAAGTTCAAATCCCGATTAACTTCAAGTACAATACTCAACCAGGGTTCTATTGGCCGGATTAATGGGAGAAAATAACGATATTTTGTATCTATTAGCTGGCAACAAGTTCATTTGCGAAAAAGTTGTGGATGGAGCTCGCTGAAAAACACCTCGGGCTCGGTTTTGAAGCGGACTTTATGAACGAAGTTAAATAAACAAGACACGAAATCAATTATTATTTAATGCATCTGCTGATATCCCAAGAAAGTCGAAGGGGTATAGTGATAAATAATGCGTGCGGTTTAAATGATAAAAAGCCCCATCTCCTCCTGCTCGTCTAGCCAGGTTGGACATCAAGATTCGAAGACTAGGGAAAAAAGAAAAGATGCATAAGGGCCGAAAAACGAAAATGCCGAATGCCGAATGCCGAATAATTCTGTAACGATTTCCCAATCGCAGTGAGTCCTGCATTCAATGGTAAGAGGTAAGAAAGAGAAGGCGTACTTACAAGAAAACCGACTTCGTGCAAAGTACATAAAGTCGCGAGCACTAAACGCGCGCTCAAGCGATAACGCAGTAGGCGTTGTTGCCTCCGCCGCCTTTCTCCTCGTCGGTGGGGAAAGAGATGGTGGGGGTGATGGTGTAGGTGAATGAATCCATTTGGTGTGCGGTGGATAGTTGCGGGAGTGCGACTGGGGAAACGACGTTCGCGTTCAGGGTCCTTTTATAGGAAAGGATGACACTCGGGTGGGTCGGGCGGGTCATAGCGAGGATGCGCCAGTTTTGGAGTATAGTGGATACTAGACACAAAAGAGCAATGTGTGGGCTATTGTGAGGCGGACAAAAGCGCTGGTGGGCTGTGAGCTTGAGCAATGCAGGGCACTGGGACGCATTGTCTGTAGGTCAGCGTTTTGGGTCAAGGCGCGATGACGCGCTGTCATCGGCGGGACAATGTTTGTGGGGGAACAAAATACTTTGTCGACGGTAACAATGACAACTGAGCGTGCTTGGTCCCTGAGGCGGAGTAGAAGCGTATACAAAAATGGAAATGTTTAATTGTTGAGGGTGATGGCCGGGCCGGGTTGTGTGGCGCACAGTTGGTCTTGACGACACAGCTCGAGCCGGACCGCCCTCTCCAGTTTCAGTCCGACTCCCATTCCCATACCTTCATCGTCAAACACAGTTCGTGTCATCTGTCATATAGTCTTGACTGACCAAGACATTGATTCTGAGGATCTTGGTGAACAAATTAAGTCATTATGCCACGATCAGGGCAGTCGCTTTCCCTGTCGTAATTGTGAGGCAAAATTTAAAGTATGAGGTCGATGCACCTCAAATACTGCTCCGAGAAATGTCATAATTGGCGTGTCAGAGATAGCTACTTATCAGATGTCGAAAATCGGGCAGGATCCGTCCGTGCGAGAAGAACAAGCGCCCGCCTGACAACCGCAGTCCATGCTCACTGCCACACTGTGCGGGGAAAATGAAACTTGTTCCGTCAATTCCTTAAAAGGCATTGATTGTCCCTTCAGGTATAAAGAGTCCTCGTACTATTTGAGACGGTCCAAGCTACACACCACCAACACCCACAAGCCGCACACTCTATCACAACCCACAGCACGCACCAAAGTACCCAGCCACACCACCCTATTCTAGGAAGTTCAACGACGATGGATTCGTTTACCAACTCGATCTTCTCGCCTTCGCGGCCGATCGAATGGACTGAGGGGGAGAAGAAGCCGGATGGAGCCTTCACTTACTGCGTAATTGCCTGAACAATAGTCTCACTCAAGTCTATGACACTGCGCCACAGCACTTTCCGACCGTGTTTGAAAGGGTGGATAGGGTCAGCGGCTACTCTTAGACCCACAAACTGAAATATGTATCTCGCTCTCGCTGCTTTATGTATTGCTTCTCAATAAACGACTGTTCCTCTGTTGAGCGGTAGTCATTTTATCTTTCTTCAATTTATTTAGAAAAAATACTTCTCGCGCCCAACTCGGGCCTCGGAAATATATTTAACAGCACTTCTGAGCGTCTATTCAATGTTCCTCGTCCTTGCAGCTGACGAGCATCTGGTCTGGACTCGGGAATCGGGATATCCGATATTTTGATCCGGAACGGAGACGCCGACCCCCCACAAGGTACACATTCCGTCACTCAGCAGGTTCCTCCGTTCCGAAAACCCGTGAAGCATTTTGAAATTCGGTGCCAAGATTCGGCTAGGAGCCCGTTCAGAGGAAGGTGCTCCGAACGGCCCGTCAAAGCCCGTCAACAGGAAGTTTCCAAAGGTCGCTCAGCCGCTCATCGCGCCCATCTATGCGGCAAAAAGGCGCATCCAGTTCTGTCCAGGTGACCGCTCTTTGATCACAAACGATGAGGGCAAAGGGCATCCACCGCTGTCAGAAGCTGGATATGTCTAAAGTACTTCGTTGGTACCTTTCCACCCAGCTGTGGCAAGTCAACTCAATCCACACGACCTAATTGACTTTCTGATAGATTGTTGGCAACGCTGGCTTCTGCACACCTAGATAACGCCGCAGCGCTTCATTGGCCGCAATCTCCTACTAGCTCCTACCAGAGCCTTCTACGCTGAGGAATCGAAGGAGAAAGTTCTAATCCGTCGGTTTTTTACGGGCGAGCTTTGCCTCACATGCAAGGAGAGCGCATGCCAAAACCCATTTATTTCACTGCGGAGACAAATTTTTCAGAGGGGCCGTCCCGAGATGTATCGAGTGGCGCTCTGGAATACTTTTCCGTTCGGCCTAGGAGACGCTTGGGAGCGTCCAAGATGGTGCGAACGGCCGATCGGAGTATGTCTTTCCATTTTCCGATGAGACGCCGCTGCCTGAAGGATCTTTCGTTATCTATGACCATGACCAACCGAGATAAGGAAAATAGAGAAATAGCATGCGCGACCGCCGTGGAGAGCAGCACTCTCGCACTCCCCGCTCTCGACATCCAACTCTCATCTAATTTCTCGAGCAACAATGGTCCTCCCACACGAGCCCGAATTCGAGCAGGTACTTGCTCTTGTTCGCGTCACTTAACACGGCGAGCTGACGTGTTTTTGTTTAGGCCTTGGACGAGCTTACCACTAGCTTGCAATCCTTCTTGGAGGCCAATCCCGAGTATAAGAAGGCTCTTGAGGTCGTTCAGGTCCCTGAGCGCGTCCTCCAATTCCGTGTTGTCTGGGAGGACGACAATGGCGTCGCCCATGTCAACCGTGGATTCCGTGTCCAAGTCAGTCTCTTCACCTGACTCAACTTTTTCGTTAAATTGAACAACTCGCCTAGTACAATTCTGCCCTAGGACCCTACAAAGGCGGTCTCCGTCTCCACCCCACCGTCAACCTTTCCATCCTCAAATTCCTCGGCTTTGAGCAAACTTTCAAAAACGCCCTTACGGGTCTCAACATGGGAGGAGGCAAGGGCGGTTCTGACTTCGACCCCAAGGGCAAGTCCGACGGCGAGATTAGGCGTTTCTGCGTGGCCTTCATGGGCGAGCTCTTCCGCCACATCGGGTCGGACACCGATGTCCCAGGTACGTTATTTCGACCCTCCTCAGTCTTGAGCCCAGCACTTATGCTGCCCGCGTGGTACCCAGCTGGCGACATCGGCACTGGTGCCCGCGAGATTGGCTTCCTCTTCGGCGCGTACAAAAAGCTGAGAAACGAGTTCACCGGCATGCTTACGGGCAAGGGTCTGACCTGGGGTGGAAGCTTCATCCGTCCAGAGGCAACTGGCTACGGTCTAATTTACTATGTCGAGCACGTACGTCGTCCGCTCCTTCTCCCTCGTTTTACCCGACGCTAAATTTTCTAATTTCTCCAGATGATCGCCAAGGCGTGCCCAGAGTACAGTCTCGACAAGCCCTCCACTCTGGTCGCCATCTCCGGCTCGGGCAATGTCTCCCAGTTCACCGCGCTCAAGGTCATCGAACTCGGTGCGACCGTCCTCTCGCTCTCTGACTCCAAGGGGTCGCTCATCGCTGAGAAAGGGTATACGAAGGACGTTATCCTTAAAGTCGGCCAGCTCAAGCTCAAGGGCGGCAGCCTGGAGTTTCTGGCCAACGAGGAGGGCTACACTTACCACGCGGGCGTACGTCCGTGGACGCTCCTTCCCACCGTACACATCGCGCTGCCTGGTGCGACCCAGAACGAGGTTTCTGGCGAGGAGGCCGAGGCGCTCCTCAAGGCCGGCGTGCGCATCGTCGCTGAGGGATCGAACATGGGCTGCACGGCGGAGGCCATCGACGTCTTTGAGGCTTCGCGCAAGTCTGGACCTGGAGGCGTGTGGTACGCTCCTGGAAGTACGTGCCTTTCCCATTATTTCGTCGCTGAGTAACGGCATATTGATTTTGATTCGAATTATTGCAGAGGCGTCCAACTGCGGTGGTGTTGCGGTGTCCGGCCTCGAGATGGCCCAGAACAGCCAGCGCCTTGCATGGAGCACTGAGGAAGTCGACTCGAAGCTGAAGAATATCATGGCTGAGTGCTACGGGGTGCGTTTCGCTGTCGCATTTCTCATGTCCCAAATCAGAAACTTACGGAAACGCATGTGTAGATCTGCTTGAGTGCGGGCTCGAAGTGGTCTGGCGAGGAGCTTACCGACGGCGTCCTTCCCAGCTTGCTTTCTGGTGCCAACGTCGCAGGGTTCATCAAGGTTGCCGACGCCATGAAATCCCAGGGCGACTGGTGGTAAATGCACCTCCGAACGCGCATAGATAGGCTCTATCCCGATGCGCGACAGCCTATTTAATACGCACCGCCCCTCACAACGCCCTAAAAATTATTGTATTTGTGGCCAGCTTCCTCTGCCCTGGTACGCCCTGGAAATGTCTCGATGTTATACCTCAGACCCGCCAAAACATATCAATCCACCAGCCCCGTCGGGTTTGTATTTATATCGTCGCATTATGTACTGTAGAGCACCACAATTATCTGTATGTAACGGCAATGGAAATATCTGTAGTATCTTGATCTTAGTCCGAACGAAAACCGAGGCCGCCTACCGGGAGGAAGGTGAGATGATCATTAGTCTCTCCGAACCAACTTTCCTGCAACAAAAGGAATAGGATTGTAATAGATGCATGGCTGTGATATTGAGGGGAAGCTATACATTATACAAGTCGTCAGTAAAATACGTATAAGTAGATGTGGATGGGGGCATAGTGGATAGGGAATCCAAGAAAAAGATCCAGAGCAAGTCAAGAAAGTAGCGGATAGTCATTGCATTTGCGGATCGCGTAGAGTATTCATGCGGTCTCTTGCGTCTTGAAGGCGTCTCCCAGTAACTCAAGCACCTTGTCTGCGCATCCCCACGACGACTGGAACCCGAATCCACCGTGTCTGGAAAAGTAAGTCAGCCACCGAGCAGTCAAAACGTCAGTCCCATGCACACGCACCCATAATTATGTACCACAGGGATTCTGCCCTCCCCTCTATGCACCGTCGCGCCGTCCACCCACTGGACCTCTAGCCGAATGCCGCCTTTCCTCGCCGGCCTCAGTCCACACCCCTCGCCAACGATGAGAGGCAGCACGTCTTCGACCGTCGGCTCGCGGACGGCGCGGACCTCTGGAGGCGCCAGCTCCGGGCAGAGCTTAAGCCCGCGCTTGAGGATGTCTTCTGTAGTTTCGGGCCGTGGGCGAGGGAACCAGTCATCGTGGAATCGCGTCCCACCAACGATGACCTAGAGCATTTGGGGGGAAGAAGAGTGCGTCAGTGGGAGTGAAGATAAGGATAAAAATAAGGAGGAACGGACGTCGCTGCTCCGCCGCGGAATGATGTACGTTAACGCCCCGCTCGCGTCCTTCGACTCCGTTCGCCCGAAACGCACCCACGGCGCGCGGACGATGACCGTCTGGCCTCTGACGGGGTACATGTTCTTGTCCTCCACGCCACCGAGGAACCGTGCGCCCAGGCCAACACAGATTACGACGGCGTCGGGCTTGGGGTCGTGTTCTGTTCCTCCGGAGAAGAGAGCCGTACCGCCCTCGAGGAGTTGGTGGAGGTGGATGAGAGACCCGCGCAGGATGCGTCCGCCGTGCGCGAGGAAGCACGTGAGGAGGTAGTTTAGGTAGATGGGCGTGTCGATGGTGATGGTGTGGAATGTCGCGCCAGAGATCGCACCTGGGAGGAGTTCTTCTGGTTTAAGCGGCCTGTACTGAGGTAGGGGTGTCAGGAGCGTGAAAAGACGATCAAATTTATTGTGCTCACGCTGGGCAACTTCTCGAGTGGGTCGGGCTGAGCGCGTGCGGTGAAGAAATGCTCCGTCTGCGTTATGCGGAGGAAGCATTCTTCTGCGTCGTTGCCGGGCGCGGAGAGTTCCCACATAACATTGAATGTCTTCTCCTCAAATTCTAGGGGCAATGGAACGAGAGAATGGAGTGTATGAGTGTGCAGTTGCACAGGGAAATATCGAAACTGTACGCCGAGAGAAGAGACTGACGGTGTAATCCCGTGTCATCGATAGGATTATAGACATGGTGTGCACCCTAAAGATGAACAATATGTTATCTCGCGATGCAACACTGAACTAGAGGACGTACGGCCCATCGACTTGTATATCTAATCGACTTCGGATCGCTCGGAATGACTTCGGCAACAACGGTCACTTTGTAATCCCCTTGCTGCTGCAACTTCAATGCAGTGGTCAAACCGACCACGCCTAATAGTCAAAACAGAGAAAATGGGTTCAGAAGGCATGTCCAAGCCACGGAAAGGAACCCAAGACAAGCGCCAAGTACTCACCTGCACCCAACACAACGATCTCCTTATGCGCCGTGGCTGGTGTTTGGTGGGATGCTGCCATTGGGAAACCCTGTTGTTGGCTGTAACACAGGTGGTGGTCGAGGTTGTGGTTGAAGGAACGTTTGATGCTGCAATTGATAGCTATCGTCTGAGGGTCGGGAATCGGGATGATATCATGATCATGGTCCTGAAGCGTGCTCTTCGGCGGGTGCTATTTCAAGATATTTCGGGCCGTGCAAGGTGGACCGCGTGTAGCACGATTGCCGTCTATCCAGCCCGACCTCGCAGAGGCGAGAATAAGTAGTGCCCAGCATCCCATCGCACGATGACAATCTTATCTGAACAGGTCGGTTAGGGTTGGGTCAAACTTTAGCAGGCATGAGTCCGAACGTCCAGGCGTAACTTGCGTGGAAGGAGATTTAACGATTATTAGCCTAGAACAAGCAAAGGAATAGAATTTAAACCATGCGTAGATATCTATTCGAATCCTTGTTTGAGCCCTTGTTAAAGTTGAGTCCATGAGACAGTAGAGCCTATATCAATAAATATTCTTTTCCACTCTAGGAGTCAGTTTAAGCTAGTCTAGAATACCCAAACCAAAGCTCAGCTGAAAAGCAACCTCCTAAGTAGAAACGACTCACAAGGAAGGACAACATTCGCCCAAAGCATTTTGAATATCGTAGCAGGGTATCGTTCATTCACTCTTATCCGACTCCTCTTCACTCAGCTCTCTATCTTCGCTCCCACTTTCGTCAGGCTTGACATCTTTGCTGGTGGCACAAACCATGCCCGTTACGCCCTTTGCCAGCAAGGCTGGGTCAACTGGGTGGCCTTTCCCCAAGCGCTTCGCTCTGGCGAACATACCGACTTCCGGGTCGCGAATAAAGTTCACGATTACCATGGGCCATGAGGGATGGGAAGGAATGGTATCATAGAATTCGGGGGCAAGCTTGCGCAACGCTGGCAGTTTTGTCCATGGAATTGAAGGGAAGTCGTGGTGCTCGTTGTGATATCCAACATTGTACGCCAGGATATTAAGCGGACCGTAGTAGCTGTACGTCTCCTGCTCCAGCCCGTCCCAAAGGTAATGCTCGGCGATAAAGTGACCTGCGAGGGGATGCAAGCTTCCGGCGAAGAAGCTGCTCATCACGAGGTATATCAGCGGCCGGGCGCCGAACGCCGACACGAGGACGTAGTCAAATACTAGCTGAACGACGACGTTGAGGAGGTGCCAGCGCGTCAGCTTCTGCGCACGCACAAACGTCGGCCGGAGCGCGTAGAAGAGTATCTGGAACGTCGCGAAGATGACCTTGCCCAGGACGTTGTTCAGACACATCAGTTCAAGCCGCGTCGGCAGGTCCGTGTCGACGCCGTCCTGGCCCATAAACTTGTGGTGCTCGATGTGGTATTTCTTGAATGAAACTGAGTACGGGATCCCGATCGGCAGGTTCGCGACCATCGCGAGCAGCTTGTTCGGCGTGATACCTCTGAACGCGAGGTTGTGCGTGATTTCGTGGATCGCAAGGAAGAGGTTGTGGTTGGCGGTGCCACCGACGGCATACGCGCAGAGTACGAAGAGAGGGGAAAGGGGAGAGTGGTGCCGAAGGTATATGGCAAAGATGATCTGGATGGAGACGACAAACAGCACGACGTATTTCGTCAGGGGCTCGTAACCCATAAGTTTCGTCACCTGCAAAGCGTCAGATGGTGAGTACCAATTCAAGGGGATTCCACAGACCTCAGGGTGAGCCTTCATGATGGCCGTCCGCCTCGAACGGTGAGGTTCTTCCGTCATTAACCACAGAAAGTCATTGGGATCTTGGGGAGGTGCCGTGAACGCATATTGATCCTGGTGCTCCTCGTTCGGCGCATACACTCGGCGCGGCGACCTTTTTCGACCTTCTGTGAGAGATTCAGCGCCTCCGAAAAGGCTGAAATCTGTGTTCTGTTAGCCTGGTAAGCCCTTCAACCGAAGGGAAGTACTTACTAATTGACATTGAACGACACGTCAACCTATGGTGGAACGCGTCGGGCAGCAGGCGGTCCTAGGTCACCCCCGTCTGTTCTTGGAGGCCTTCAAGTTCCACTCACGTTCGTGGAAGGAGGGAAAAAGCGGGGGAACCTGAATGAACTGAGCCGAACTCGAAAGATTATGATATTTCTTACGAATTACGTCAGCCTAGTAGAATTAGGGGCTAGAGCCTCGCGAAGGGGCTGGGCTGGGTAAATGATATGTAGCATTCCGGTAGATGAAATATTCTGACCCAGAATCAAACGACTTTCTGTGATCGTTTTTTTGGTAAAAAAAAAATAGTATCATCGTGGGTCCAAGGTTGTAGGGCAGTACACGAAGACGGAGGTCCAAAAAATCTCACGTAGCGTCTCTTCTACTTGGAGCGACCGCGAGTCTGCACACCAGCAAATGACCTTCGACTGGTTCATCCTCAGACAAGGTCATGCTGAGGCGGATTGTATGGTATCGGTCTCACGTTGCGTAGACGAAGAACGCTCAAGGAAGCCAGAATATAAAGGTCGATGTGATTGTATCTGGTGGGAGGCACGAACAGCTTCGCTATCAAGGGTGTAGGTGGTGGTGATCTGGTGAATATGGGGGACTATAAATATTTAACCAAGTATTAAACAACGAAGCAACCTACAAGGAACGAAAGAGTCAAGCTCAGAAACTTTGAGCGAACTAAAAAATAAATAATAAATAAATAATAAAGTAATTCTCACCTGGAGAATTATCTGCGCGGCGGTGTAATTTCCACCTACCAGGGAGCCAAATGATCGAGAGGGTGATATTGATGGTCAAAAACAAGCAGAGAAATGGTTTTGCGACGGCTTCTGTGGGACGCCTTGAAAGAGTCATCCGTAGATGGCTCAGCGAACACTGGTTCCGATGTCGTCTGGAGGGTTTGCGCCGGTCCAGGAGTAACATATTCTGCGTTTTGCTCTTAGACGGATACGTACTTCTAGCGATTGTCCAGAGACGTTACACGTAGCGAATAAAATGAGACGGAGAAGACGCGGTATAGAGCGACACCAGTAAGAGACGGAGACTGGCAAGCGTTCAAGCTTAAGCTTCAGCAGCGATGCAACAGATTCGGACAGGATGTCCCCTTGAAACATAGATGAGACCTCCCTGCACAAAATAGAAACACTTGTCGAATCTACCAAGGAATGGAAGACATTCTGACACGATCGTGTCATTGCGCAGGGAGGTTGGCTGTCAGTTCCTCGGCGATAGTCGATGATTTCGATGTGTTTAACCAAGGAGGCGCTCAGGTACGAGGCGAAGGCACGGTTAACTCCTTGAACTTCTGAAGCATAACCGGAGGAGTTTGGCAAATACAAACGGAATCCGCAGAACGATGCCGCTTAATTTAGAACGTGAATGAACAGGGTGAAGAAATCCATCACTTACAAGTCGAAGACTGGACAGAAGATGAGGTTAAGAACAAGACGGAGCACAATGTTTGCCCGAAGTGTTGACGATAAGATAAGATAAAAAATTGATGCACCAAAGTACGTCACCACGTCACCTCCTGAGTGACTCTCTTGAACTCTTACCACCATCATCTCGTAGGACACAAAAACTCGCATCATAAAGGATCGCGCAATATCACTCAGATCTCTGGCCCCGATGAACTTTCAGCTGGTTCTCCGAAGCCCATTCAGCAGATCTGTTGAATCTGCGCCAACCTCGTCCCGATATCGTAACTTCTAGGAGGCTATGACTCGTATACTGAGTGCTATCTCAACCCGGATCGTTCCTGCTGCCACCTCACTTCGCCCGCTCTATGCTAGAATCAACCACCTCCCCTACTGCTATTTAGGTTCCGCAGTGGGTATTCGGAACAGCCAGATAGTTTCCGAGCAGTTGCCTCAGAACTCCAGAACCGTCCATTGATAGCACCTCTGGGCGGGCCAATCGCGACTTCCTTCTGGTATGCGAAGACATGTTTCTCATCGTTCATCTCCGGAATACCTCCCCAGTCGCTGTTACACTCTTGCTTCAATGTTCTAGGCGTATGGCGTATTCAGCGCAGGTCCGGGTTATTTGGTGACTAGATGCTCGCGTTTGACGATGTTGCGGTCCTGCTCTGGTCTATAAATTGAGAGCAGTGGATATCCATTCAATTCAACTAGCTCTTTCGTTCTTCCTCCCTCAGCACCACAGGTTTGCCTTTCCAGCAGCATCGACGTCTTCACCGCAGTGTTGACCTATCATTCTTATAGACCACCATGCCCGCTAAGAACCCATCGTCAGGCGCGTCGAAGGCCTCTGGTGGACCGGTGCGTTCTGATTGTCGCTCGCACGGCGCACTTTTCTCATTCACGTTTAGACCAGGTCTTCTGCTAAGAAGCAGGTGTCGAGCACCGCTCCCCCAGCCAAGGCCGCTGCTGAGGCTCCCAAGGCCCATACATCCAGCGCTAAGCCTAGTGCTAAGGCACCCAAGAAGGCTGTCACATAGAACCATCGCGTCGTTGTTTTGGATGAGCCTTAGAAGTTGAAGTCTCGCAGGGGTCTCGTTGTCTTGAAAGCTAAATCCTCCGGAATCTCGAACACTTGTCTGTTGTACGATTGCGATACCAATACAAGTCGAGGCAATACACGTATATTTATTATATCTTCCTCTGGCCGATTGGGGTCTTTGTATGAGTATCATACTTCAACCTTCGTCTGCACGCATAGTTCTACCGGCCCGACATCCGACTTGTGTTGATTCAATTATGGTTTGCCAAACAAGGAGATATGCGGTTTGCGCCCCACCACGTCTACATTTCCTTCCTCTACCATCTTTTCATGAACAAAATAGCAAATCCGAAGCTGTGAATGCTTATGATAAACCCAAATGTGAGTCTCCATTTCTCTCCTTGCTCTCATATGACGAGTTCTTTGTCAAATCGCGTGAGCGCACTCTCGTCATCGAGGTTGTGCGATGGACGATTATCATAATCCTAGTTATACTGATACTTTTGGGTTCTCTGTCTTTTTCGTCATTCATTTCTAACGTATGCTTTGTTTCCTAGGTGCTGTGCCTCTGGCAGGGCTAATTGACGAAACTTACCGTAAACCAAGTGACATGTGCGCCTTGATCAGACTGCCTTGCGAGCGCAAGGCGTTACAATTCACTGGAACACGATCGTATTACGGTATAAAGAACTTCATCTTTGCCCTGAATCCTAGATCTTCTCGAATGTCCGTTGCATGAAATTTTTACATGTCACCCGCCTCCCACTCAAACCTCGAGGCCTTGAAGCGTTTTCCTTTCTCCACCGGCCAAGATGCACGCCCTTCCTGTCGCTTCTGCTCCAACTGTGCATCGTGGAACAAGGTCACTTCTTCGTCCCTTGTCAAACAATAGCTAAATGTTTCCCCTTTCTCGAGTTGCAGGGTTGCCTCTTTCCACCTCTTCGTGTCCTTTTGTTTCGGTGCGCGGAACGTATTCCCGACTGCTGAGCCCACTCGTCCGCACCCGGGACACTTGCAATGGTTAAGGGACCTCCACCAAAGATATGGACACAGCTTCTTGAACTCCTCTATTTCGTCCTTGCTATTGTCGTTGAATCCTGTTGTCCACAGTCCACCCTCGAGCTCCATCAGCACGTTGTAAACCCGTTTCTCCTCGGCACTTCCGCGTGCTCGGCCTCGTACGAGCTTCCTCCACGCGTTCCACACCTCAGGAATCCGGTCAAGTGTTGGGGAAACCCACCGCCCTTGTGCAGGCACCGGGCTCTTCGGGTCCCAAATGGAATATATCTTCCCTTCCACGATCGCAGGTTTGAACACGCGTCGGCATGGTGCACACACGAACTTCGGGCGGTGTGGGGATTTGCAGATGTGGTTTCGACTTGGGGCGATTGCGACAGGGTATGTGGTCCCATGGTCGCCTGTCCATAGTAAGCCGTCTAGTTTCAGGTAGTCCCATCGCTCCTGCTTCTCGACATTGTCGTCGGAGTATGGTCAACAGTCTCGCACGCAGCCACGTGTCCTAACGGGACCAACATGACATCCTATGAACCGTACACGATCGCTTCTGTGTGAGAGAAAAAATATTTTGGTGACCGTAAGAATGAGGGTTCGAAACGTTAATGAGCGACTGAATAGGCGGACCTGCGGCATGCCATCCTGTACTCATCAATGTGGTGCTGGAAGATGAGGTCAAGCGGCGCAGGGTGGTTGCCAACGGCGCTTCAGATGAACCCCCGACGACGTTCCCGCACTCTTTTATTGTGGGAAGACGACCGTCATAAATCCCGAGATGACTCCACACAGGCAGCTCGGCACCGTAGCGGGGAAGGGGACCAGACTGCCGTGTCATGACACGGCTTGCACCTGTAAGTCCTGGATTTCTCAGAGAGCCCTTCCAGTGCACATCGTCTGACTCTCGGGGACCAGTACGGCGATAAAATCGGGGATCTACATGCTGCCAGCTGCATGGACACTTCACAACTTAATCTCGCCTCGTCAGGGAGACATCGCGACCCATGGCTGATGGGCAAAATGTCCTCTTTTACTTCGATTTCTCCGAATGAGGATACATCAATAGGACCCCCAATAGACTTCAATGCGGTCACCCAAGAGCGTGAATCTACAGACATTTATTCCACTTGTCCGAGAACCATCTCTTCAAGGTGGAGCGCCCGCGCAGCGGCTGGGTAGGACGGAGAATGCGACTAAACTGGGTTCGGAAAGATGCGTCTGCCTCGGAACAATCTTCAATACTGAAGATATGATTTGATCGAGAGTCACCCTGACATGCGCCACATTCGTCCCCGCTTTTCTCGAATTTCGACTTCAAAACACCTCATGACAGACAATTAATTGTCTCGACCCGCTGCGACAGGACAACTCAATATGTGAAGGAAGTTTCCGATGCAATCAGGCACGATAAATACGAATCTTCAGAAAACCCTTCGAGAGGGCGCTGATTTGCTGAGGTCTGAAGAGCTGAACATGACCTAGGGCTTCCAAGGCGATTGCAGATTTCCGAACGAAACGGAGGCCGAGGAAAATACCGTCTTTTTCGAGGAGAGAAAAAAACTTAGCGCCGAAAACCATGTGGAGGGGGCGCTTATTCATATTGTATTTGTCCCTTCTTCCATCCGAGTCGGATTTGAACTTGAGCCTCTGTGGAACCTTCTTGCAGCTTCTTGCCCAGCTTGAGAGGAAGACCTGGATTACGTAGCCCTCTGGTCGCGAAGGCAAATACTAAGTCAGGGTCGCGAACCAAATCGATCCTGCGGCCTGATTCCCGACCCCAGGAACGCCTGCAGTCGGCTAACCAAAACGAGAACAAGTTCGTGCTGGTTCGGGGAGTCCTGAATTCTCCTCCTTTGTGTTTTGTTGGACCCACAATGTCGTCCTCTGTAGAATAACATCATGCTGGATGGAAGAAGCGCCGTGATCGTCGTCGGAGCCCGATTAGGCATCCTTTAACGGATCAGGAGGATGCGATGGAGGCGCACCTCGGAAATCTTCAAGCTTCACCCCTAACTAGATCTCTTCCGCTGCTTGACCCGGTCCGCATAGAATTCTTGAACCAATCCGGCCAACCATCCAGTTCATCATATTTCTTGAATATGTATGGGATTTTTGTCGCGGCATAAAGGGTAATCAACGGAAGGATATCTGGCAACCGTTATCTAGATCGCGTTAGCATCATTTCTCACTTTCGGCGCCTTCGCAATCGTATAAAGGGATCTTTCAGGTGCCACGGGCGGAAGCTTTTTTGTGCTTTTGCCGTTTCCCCGGCCGCACCACCGCCTTCACCACCGCCTTCACCACCATGCCCCCCTTCTGGAGCTCGAAAAAGAGCAAGAAGCTTGAAGTTGATACGCATTCGCATTCGGGAGGGTCGATATCCAAGTCTCCTTCACCCGCCCCAGAGGCGTCTGGACTTCGCACCCAATTCCCGACATATGCCTCGTCTGCTACGAAGATCCGACTCTCAGTCCTTGCCACAGCGTTGGTCGACGCTCTCGGCGCTCCCCCGGAATTCCACAAGCGTTTCGAGTATCCATTCGTGACCTCCATGCTTCCGAACGGCAACTTCAATCTACCACCAGGCGTCTGGACAGACGACACCTCCATGATGCTCTGCCTCGCCAACTCTATCTCGACATTCAAAGAAACAGCCGATTCTCCCTACACCGGTGGATTTGACGAAGTTCACCAACTCGAGTTCTACAATCGTTGGCATAAGGAGGGCTACCTTTCGGCTGTCGGGCGCTGCTTCGACATTGGGAACACCGTTAAGCGCGCGCTACAGATCTTCGGCCAGTACTCCAACCCTGAAGAAGCGCTCCTCCGCATCCGGAGTGATTTGGGGGGCGAATCGACATCGGGGAACGGAAGCTTGATGCGCATCATCCCCATCGGTTTGGTCTACTGGCGGGACGAATCCCAAGCGAAGTCATACGCGAGGCGGAGCAGCCAGGCTACTCATCCGAGTATAATGTGCGTCGAGGCATGCGAGATGTGGACGGGCTTGATATCTCTCATCATGGAGGAGATGAACGACCCACGGCCGGCGTCCGAGCGCGATCCTAACACCCAGTTCTCGAAGCTCAACCTGCTCGAATATATTTCGAACTTCCCGTTCACCGACAACAAACTTCACGAGGCGCTGACACTGCCATTCGGTGTGCCATTAAGGCCAGAAGGGAGAGCAGAGCGCGAGCAGTGGTATTGGCGGCACCATCCGCTCCTCCGCCTCATCCAGGAGACACAATTACCAGCGAACATTAAGGAGCCGAGGTTCCCTTATGCAATCCCTCCTATCGATCGACTCCCGTCGTCGGGGTATGTCTTGCACACTTCCGTTGCGGCTCTTTACTGCTTCTTCGCTACAAGGACTTTCGAGGAGGGTGCCCTGATGGCAGTGAATCTCGGAGACGACGCGGACACGGTCGGAGCTGTTTACGCAGGCCTCGCTGCTTGCTGGTACGCTGGCGAAGAGGGAAAGGCGGAGGAGGTGTTCTGGACGAAACGGGTGAGGGAGTGGAGGAAGGCCTTGATTAAACGAGAACTAGTGGAACGGGTAGCTGAAAACCTCGTTGCATGGGAGCGAAAGCAAGAGGACATGTAACTCTTCAGCACGTTCTCGTGACCATGCATGCTTATGATACCTTACTGACGACACAGACTATCATCTCTTTACGGCCTGTCACATAACTACAAACCTTACTGACCTCTGATACTATCCTACGATACCTTATGTATATTATGCCATTTTTGTCTCGAACACTCGGAGACTGAACATTTCTGCATTCTAAATCCAGAAAATCAGTCCACCCTCGCCTCATTTCATTTAGAAGCTCATTTGCTGAAAGACCTCCACACTGGTGATCAGACACGAATATATAGGCATTCGCGCAATACAACGCATCGAGCAGGACGAGATCTTCGTGGGAGAGGAGCTAAAAATAGAACCGGGATCGCGGCATGCTTTTCTTGCCTTGATCTACGGACATAAAACTCCATGCGATGGATCGTGAATATTTGAATGCGGACTTTTATGCGGGCAACAAATCCCGGCAACAATACGCCCCTTGTTCTCAACCACAACCCTTCATGAAACTACTCTCTCGGATCCTACGATTTTACGCCTTTCAAGTCGCCCTACACATCTTCGAGGACGGGCCACTGACATTGCCAGCCGCCCGAGCTTACGACCTCGTTGAAGATTACAAGGGATCAACCTTCTTCGATAAGTGGGACTTCTATGGGTCGTACGACAATCTCACGAACGGTGAGCTCTCTCGAAGTCGTTCGCTTTCTTGGTAGGCCCTGACGCCCTTGTATAGGCGATGTGATATGGCAAGATAGAGCCAACGCGACGTCGGACCAACTAGCGTTCGTGAACAGCGCCGGCAACGCAATCATCAAAGTCGATAATACAACGAATGTCCCCTATAATATCAAGAGAAATTCCGTGAGGATAACTACCCAGCAGGCGTTTGGAGTTGGCAGTCTTTTCATCGCCGATTTCATCCACATGCCGTACGGGTGCTCGGTATGGCGTTACGTTCTTCTCCCGAGGAACTTCTGCTGATCAAAAATGTCGGTAGGTATGGCCCGCGTTCTGGACCAGAGGATTAAGCTGGCCTGAAGGAGGAGAAATCGAGTGAGTGTGGCCTGGGTTTCGAACAAAGGACGTAACTCACCAATTGTCAGTATTATGGAAGGAGTCAACCTCATGACTCAGAATCAAATGGCACTTCACACCCGTCAAGGCTGTATGAACGTCGCACCTGCTGCGGGAGCCCAAACAGGCACCACAGGTACCCTAGACTGCTCACAGGGGGCAGGCTGCACGGTTCTTGATAATTCGACAAGCAGTTTTGGGGCAGGATTCGCGCAGGCAGGAGGTGGGGTGTTTGCTGCGCAGTTCGACATCAACGGGTAAGTTTATTTTCGTCTTGTCCTAAATCAAGGAACCCCCTAATCCAGGCCATCTTCTGCTCCGCATAGCATCTTGTAAGCGGCTTCTCATTGAAACTAACGCCAGATGCTCACTATTCTCAAAATGAAGTATTTGGTTCTGGCCTGTGAGTCTGCATGCCTTTTTCTTCAACCAACTTGGCTTCGACGCTAAAAATATCTCAGCGCGCCAATATCCCTCAGTCCCTCCAACAATCCACTTCGACATCCCCCATAAACTCACTCACCGATTGGGGCGTTCCAGCGGCCAGCTATCCGTCGACCACATCGTGCAACATTACCAATTTCTTCGATGCACAGTATCTCGTCCTCGACGTCACACTCTGCGGAGATTGGTAAGTGGCTTGCCTTTTATATCAGTGGCCAAGATCGACGAATTCCTAATAGGGCCGGTGTACCTTCGATCTATACTCCTCAATGTGCGAATCAAGGAACGACAGGGCTTTGCGTAAGTGATCTGTGTAATTCCATATGGTTTTTTGCTCACAGTTTTAATGCGAAGTACAACGATAACGTTATTGGGCCAGGTGATCGATACAACAACGCGTACTTCGAGATTCAGTACGTTAGAGTCTACAGCACTGCGGCTGTCATCAATCCGGGTTCGTCGAGCAGCGGAGGTCCTAGCCCGACAAGCGGCGGCTCGGGATCTAGTACGACGACGCAACCTAGTGGCTCAATGCGTACAGTTGCAAGAGACATTGCACCATGGGTTTTGTGGGGCATGCTCGTTGCTGTATTGTAAAACACTGGTTTTTTGTAATCTGCAGGACGCTTCTTAATATACCTTTACACGTTCTGATATTTTGAGTACCCAACCTGGGGCTGAAGTTGAAGTGCCCTCGTCGGAGTCAACGGTCGCGATATTATGTTGCCGCTGTGTTTTGCAAGAGATGGGCTTCATTTCAGAATTTTGTATAGAGTGCGAATGCGAAGTCAAGAAACAAAGGCATAAGGTGGAAAAGTGGAACGAAGATATATCAACTAGGTGTAGAGAGAAAATGTATATGATAGGTGGGCAGCACTTCGGTTAAGGTATGTGGCGCGTTCGAAAGGGCATGGATTAGAAAACAAGAAGCAGGAAAAATCACCAGTATGCCGGCTCGATGTCGTGGGCGTAGTTAACCTCAACGTTTATCTTCCCATCCGACTTCACCCTAGGCAAGATCTCCTCAATGTCGATGAACGTCGTCCACGAGGATCCGATCCTGAAGCGCACACGCTCCAACTTCCTCGGCGCCAAAAAAGTGAGGGTCGAGTCGACGTCGTACCAGTCGTACTGCTGGTTCTTTTGGAAGCTGCTAATAGGGTTGTAGCGATGATACGGAGGTTCCTGGCGACGGAACTCCCAAGGGCCGAAGACCACCTCGTTTTCGTAGCCAAAAGTGAAGGAGATTTCCGTAATTTGGCTGGTTCGAGGGAGGTTGGCGATGATGCGAGAGCAGCGTCTGGTGAAGGCTTGGACCTGGTTGCGGGTGGCCTTGTACTTGCCGCGTGTACTTTGAAGGTGGAGGGATAGAGTAGTGAGCTTGGACAGCGACGAGAGGTCGATCCATTCGTGTTCGTTGACATCGCCTGGAGGAACACGCCGATCAGGAGAAATAAAAAAGAAGAAATAAGGAAAGAAGTACCGTCAAGGATCGCCAACGCAAGCTCAAGGTGGACCAGTTCCTTGAAGTACGTAAGGACGTGCTGGAAGTCCTCCTTCCAGGTCGCAGATTCCTTGGTCGCGAACGTTCGAATGCCGCTGAGGATGAGCGGAGGATTGGGCTCGGCGCAGTACCTAACCAAGGAATGGAAGGCATGACAGCCCAAGTCGGCTCTAAGAGTGTCCAAACGAGGACGCTCCGCGTCTTGAAGAGGAAGTGGGGCAGATGCAAGAACGAAGTTCGTCTGGCCCTTCAGTTCCAACTCACGCAAGCGCTTGCAGCTCGAGAGGTGGTATGGATCCATCTGGACATCTTTGAGGGTGATGCGGCGAATGGGGGAGGTGGGGAGGATCGGCGCAAGGGCGACGCGGATGGCGAAGGAAGTGGAGTTTAACCTGGAGTCGTACTTGAGCTGGCGGAAGGAAGGCTCCCGCGCGGAGGCCTGTGTGATGGTCAGGCTTTCAAGGCGAGGGAAGTGGGCAAGAACGCGGTGAAGGAGATGGCCGGTCATGCCTTGAAGAAACTCGAGCATGTCGTAAGCCACAGTAATTTCTCTGATCCATCGTGCGAGGTGGGCGTGGTTGGAAACCTTCGAGTGAAATTCGCGGAGGCTGTAAATCGGTGCGGCCAGCTCGCGAGAGCTCTGGTAGAATGGGTACCACGAGCGGTCGAATGACGACAGGAGTGCGGATGGCTGGAGAAATGAGACGCGCTTGTGATGACTGAAGAGGAGAGTCTGGCTGCGACGTCTCATAGAGCTGCAGACGGTGGAGCAGGCTCGTAGCGCCTCGGCGTCGTCGTCGAGGCAGTCAATGAAGAGGTCGATGAGCTCCTGGGGGAGCTTGGAGAGAATAGAACGAGAGAAGGAAGCCATATCAAGGGGTGTGTCCTAGAATGAGAGCTGATGCAGAGGTAAGAGCTCGATATTTAAATCGACGACCTCGTGTTTCGATATCGAGCTCCGTGAAATCGTCCTTTGTCCTTTCGTCCTATAATTCATTGCGCCAAGGGTTTCAAGAGGCGCAATGAAGCCTGGAAAGGCAGGGGAAGAGGCTCGTCATCACCTAGGATGTAACAGGCGCCTGAACATGAGGACGAAAGACTGAAACAAAGCGGAAATGAACAAAAGAAATGCCAGAGACGGCGTCGGTGTGAATATTGCCCATATCGTCGGCACAGACGCGGGATGGGGCACATTGAGTCAGTCAAAGAAACCTCTGGGTTGAATGGAGCCCAGAACACCATCAGACAAAGGGTCACTGGCGCGGAAGAGAAAGTCAAAGAGACAAATTTGACTTCCGGGTCCTGAGACGCGCACGATAATCAAAACGTGCCGGTTTTGGAGGTTGGAAGAACCAAGAAAACAGTATCGAGTCCCCATTTACTGAAAACGAGGACGAACAAAGTAAGGGAATATTCCGAGTTGACGCAGATGCAGGAGGCGATTCACTTTATTCACGGCCATAGGACCGAGGGAAAGCCTATATGTAGTGTTTCACTTTCAGAAGCGCGACACACGAGCAATGTAATCCAAGCCGGATGTTGAACTTGGATGTGACTTGCGAAGGCTTTTGGCGCTGGTCGCTATTCTTCACCCGAGAGGGCCGCTTCATTGAATAAACCCATTTGGCATGGGATGTCGACAAAGGGTTGATCGCATTGCACAAACGAAGAGCAGTGTTGGCATTACTCATCAAGTCATTAAAATTAATACGGTTGGTTCGTTAAGAGATATTGCAGGTTATGCGTGTTTGCGTTGAGGAAGGGTTGCCTTTCTTACTGGTAGAAGGCTGTTGTCGGCTCGACGCCGAAGGAACGAAGAGTTATCTTCCAATCCAAAAGTACTCCCTGCATAAGGAACGGTAAGCATCAAGCCGCAAAAATTCAAATTCAAAAAGCCAGAACAAATGACGAGCCATGGGAAAAGGCGAATAAGAAAAAAAAGAGAGTAGCTCACAAAGGAGAATTCAAGATTGAGCACTCGCGATATTCACCAATTCCATTCTTCCTCCGGCTCCTCCTGCTTCTTCTTCTTAACTGCAGCGACGCTACCGTTGGAAGCTTTCCTGGTCTTTGGCGTGGTAGCGGGTTGAGCTTTGATCGACACGGGTACTAGCACCGGTGCACCCATGCCCAGTCTCATCCGAACCGTAGAGTCCTGATCACCCACTGGACCGCCAAAGCTCTCATCGTCCGACTCATCCAGGAGCGATGTTGACCTGGCGGACACCGCCCTTCTCCCCTGGGGCTGCGTAAGAGGTAGCTTGGGCTTGGGAGCTGGAGACTGGACGTTCGATGATGAAGTGGATTGTTCTATGAAATCAAAGGCGTTGGACGAGAAAGAGGAAGGAGACGACATAGGTGCATGATGTGGGTCGTTGGATGATATTGAGTAAGACGATTCAGAGGGTGGCCCAGAAGAGGGTGCAGGCGGCGATATCAGCGCTGATACCAAGGTTTGCTGCATGTCTGAAATTAGGAGTGAAGCTCGTTTCTGGTTCTTCGTAAACCTAAGTGTCAGAAGAACGAGTTGTCAAGACAGTTTAAGTGTATGGGCGGAGCGAAGGACTTACGTTGAACTCCGCGAAATCTCACCCCACTTCTTGCCAACGCTACCCACCCACGAAGACATTTGCTGGGCAGCCACTGTTGACGAGCCCACTGTGCTGATCGTTGCAAGGCCAGGAATGGATGACATTGCAGCCAGCGGAGACTTCGCACCTGAGCCGGGAGAGGGGTGGCTAGCGAAGCCGTTGCCATTTGCAGTGGTAGTCGTGGCGGAGCCAGTGCTCTCTGCCACGGCAGAACTTGAGGCATAAGTAGATGCATAGACAGACGCTGAAGCCGACCGCGCAGAATCGCTCGCTTGTGCCTCAGACACAGGCTCATCCCAGCCATCGTCCCAGTCGAATTCCTCCTTCAAGCCTGCACTAACACTAGTACTGTTTGCCTGAGAGCTGCCTGCTTCGCTTGACTGCCCTGCCAACACCTCCAATCCAGAGAGGCTCATCGTTTCTGTCCGAGTAGCTGCAGGCCCGGGACTTGGGCTGACACTCCGAATTCGTGCCGCACGTTTCTGCCTCCGCTGGAAGTCCGGGTTCGGGCTCATAGTCGGTGTTGCACCTGTATCTCTCACCATAAGCACCTGCACCCTCTCCTGACCGTCCTCAAAGTCACCGAATTCGCTCTCCTCTTCCTCGGTAGCTTCAGTTCGGGTCATGTTTGAGGTTGTAGTGCCGACATTTGCGTTCGTGTCGGTCCCAGACGACGACCCCCAGCTCTCGCTGAAATCCGTACCTGAAGTCGCGGAGCTCGATGCGGTTGATGCACTCAGCCACGACGACCTGTTCGTCGAGCGGGATGTTGCTGTTGAAACGGATGTAGACGAGCTTTGACTATCCTTCTGCATGTGCCCTGGTGCGATGTTTCTGCCAAGTCTGAGTGGCAGTGGTGCACCGCGGATGGTCGATGAGCTTGCATCCGTTGTCACAGAGTACGCTGAGGAAGGAGCGGTGGTGCCTCCAATCGACTCAAGCCCAGCAGCAATGAGTCTGCTAACTCCTTGGACACTTTCTTTAATGCCTTCGAGAACTACTGCGCCTGGTAGAGGACCATTGGATGATGCATAGGACTGATTTGTTGAGGGCGGGGTAGCTGAAGCATTGAGAGAAGTAGGGGTAGGCGAAGGCGATGAGGGTACGACAGAGCTGGGCGATTGGGATTTCTCAAACCCACGGTTGACAATACGTTCCCATTTGCGTTTCACTGCATGACGACAGAGTCAGAGCGGTTCATTTTTGATAGAAGAAGGCTTACGTTGGGCTAGCTCAGCTTCATGTGCAGCAAGTTGCGAGCGCAGCTCGAGGCATTTGGACTCTTTCTGAGCGATAAAATGCAGGAGGTCGGCATGTCTGCGAGCAAAATGCGCGTCAAAACCAAATGCTGTCTCAATACAGGACGAACATACTTGTCTGCTAGCGTTAGAGGTGGCCGCTCCTTCTGTTCTGGCTCTTTGCCATTCCCGGTAGCCAGTAGCGAACCCGTGCTCGACCTTTCGCCCGCCATTCGACTTGAGGGGGTTGAACCCTTCCCTACCCCACCAACCGAGTTGCTTCGACCCAAACCGGGACTTCTTGGCGAGAAAGATGTCGTTGTATGCGCACTGGACAACGGAGACCGAGCCAAGTTTAAGGACGACACATCACTTGTGTCATGACGGCTGAACTGCGACTGGGAAGGCGAGCCGGAAGCGATGTAGGATATGGATGATTGGCGTTTCTGTGCGCCGCGTTTGAGGTTCGTGATGGTTGGACTGAGAGGCGAGGGGGAGGCAAGCCCATCTGAGTTCCGCGAAGATGCCCCTGTAACGGGCGTGGTTGACTCGGCAGCGTAGGAGGATGGTCGCGGAGACGGGGAGTTGGAGGAAAAGGAGGTCGTGGAGCCCAGCTGAAGCGGTCGTGGCAGTGAACCGGATGGTACAGTATTCATTGACTGCCGTTTGAGTTTACTTGTGGAAGACTCTCCAGCAGAGCTCGCCGGTGTTATTGATGTCGAGATAAAGGTCGTGTCGCTCATTGTCGTGTTTCTTGCTATTCCAGACGATGTCTAAGTGGCTGGAACAGCGAACAGGTGCAGAATACGGGTCTGGCCAGTAACTTGACAAACGTAAGGTCAGATGAAGAAAGCGTTGGTGTCCAAAGGCGATACCCACCAGCAGTGAATGTGAACTCCTGAATGAACCCTCTATCTCGTTAACTCCTTCCTCCCCGTCGATCCTCCTTTCGGCAATGGAAAAGACAAGCAGGAAATTTGAAATGTAACGTTACGTGAGTATCGGGTGCTTGTATACCCGGCTGCAGGTCCGGACGACGTATTGAGTACCTCTAGGGCCAGGGATAAAACGCGTACGTACCTGTAGCGCGTTCTGGGGAGTTAGAATTGTCGTTGACAGGCCGGTAGTTCAAAAGAGAGCCAATTCACCCTGAAGTCTAGTACTTGTTATAGGGTTCAGAAACCCAGAATAGAACCCAGAATCTCCCAAAAGTCAAACAAGATTGCGGCAGGCGAGTTCGTGGACGTGTTGTGGACGTGGCAGCAGGTTCCACCTTGTTGCAGCCACCGTCGCGACTGTCGTAGTCGGAAGGAGTTCTTGGCCCGTTCACTGATGGGTTCTCTCTAAATGGTAACTCTCCGTGAAAATCATGGACCCTGACAGTTGACTGCAGACCCGTCACTGGGATACAGTAAACGGTTCGACCACAGGAGTCAAGGATTCGAAAGAGCGAATTTTGGTTCATGATCAGGGCTCTCACAAGGTTAGGCAGTCACTCAAGAGTCAAAACAGATTCATGAAGCCTAGGCTTCGGGCTGGGTTATTATAATTCTTTCGTCTTGAAGGTTGACGCGAATGACGGACGCGTTGACGCGTTGACGGCTACAGCCTCTTCGGAAGACTAGCAAACAGCTTGATTCAACGTCGAGACTAAGTACCAAGGACTCAACCGCCACCATGGCACATTTCGTTCGTAAGGGTATCCTTGAGGTACTTGCGTGCATCGATGGAAGGAAAGCTTTTGAATTCTATCTGCAGATGAATAGCAGAACACTGGGCAGCAAAAGTTCCAAACGTTCTCGCCTATCCAACCTCCGCTCTATGTCTTCTGGTCAGACGGCTGATTCCCCTTCAAAGGGCCCCGTTTTAGTGAGATGATGATGGTGATGAAGCTTCAGCCTCCTTGATGAATTGCAAGATGCTACCGGAAAGGTTAGTTCTACAATCCATGGGCAAGAAAGCAACACTCGCAATTTCTCCTCCTCGCTATAAATGAAAAGCGCACGACAACTGTCAGGTGGTTGCCCAGACACAGCTAGCAGACAACTCACTCAGAGGCACCATTGATAGGCACGCTCTCCTTTGCCTGCTGGACAGTAGTGGGCTTAGCGGGAGCATCCTTCTTTCCACCTCGTGTGGCCAGGAAAGCACCACCGAAAACGGTAGCGAAGGTACCAAGAGCGAGATATTCATTGGCAACTTTGCGGCCGAAGACGACGCTGTTTCAATGAAAGGTGCCCGCGAGCATAGTGCAACCGTTTGAATTGAGAAAGCACGGGCGATACGGATTTCGGGATAGCGACGAATAATATTGTTTGGCGATGAAAACCCAGTGGAACAGAATATGAGTTTAGCAGAATACGAGAATCTATTAGCACAATATCTTCTAAAGAGCTGAAATTACACGTACTAAGACATTATTGCAGCGAAATTTGGTGGTGAATGGGCGCTGGCGGTTGTGGTTGACGTTGACGTTGAGGGACATTGTGACGTCGTCGATGCGTGACCCGGGCCTTTCCGAATTAGGGTGGGCGGCGGGCCGGTCACAGACATAAGGTTGAGTTCAACAAATCTTGTCCTAAACCACCACTGGAGATTCTCAAGTCTACGTCTTTTTCGAACGTCAATAACAGAGCTCTTATCTCCATCTATTCCTTGGAAGAGCGGGCTTCGCTAATGAAGAGCGTCGAAGTATCACGCTTGCTGTGGCTGACGAGCAGAAAAGTTGGTTGCTTCGACCTCCCGTTGTTGAAAGCTATTCTCCCCGGCGGTCTCTTCCTCAAACCAAAGATTTGCCCAAATTCCAATGTCAGAATTACTCCGCCGGAAGGCTCGAACTCGGACCTCTCGTATTTCTGGAGATCCTTGCCTGGGCGCAACATCCGAGTCCTCACAGATGCCTGCGTGGTGGGTATTTGAGTTTTTCATTACCAGGATAGGGACCGAGTGTCCACCGCTGGCTCATTATCTCTTCCTATTTTTAGGCGTCCAGCAACTAGGCCTCTACCTGAGTTACTGCCAAATGTCTCAACCTTCAAATTGCCACTCTGGTTTGCCTGAATACACAATTTACATTTCGCTGACTGAAAGGAATTCAATCGAGTTGTTGGGGGTATGGACAGGCTCTGTGGGCGACCCAAGACCGGAGACAAACTCTCCGTTACCCCCAAAAATCATCTTCTCTATGAAAGCAATGAACCCGTAAGTGCCACCGATTTTCTTCAGGTCGACATTCGAGATTGAAGGTAGGAGGCCCGTGAACTCCTGAATATCCGACGCTTATTTCCCCGCCCACAGGTTGCCCACAGGTGTACATTTGTTGCGGCTACAGGACTTCTTCCTCGAAATCATGACATCATTGTATCGGGGTTCTTGCAGAACAAGCATATCTTTGAGTCTCGACCTGCCCTGCGATGTATTGCTCGCTGTTTCGTCACATGCAGCCATCCGAAGTGCGATCAATCGTCGACCATGAGAATTCCTATCCAAGGCAACATCTTGGGTAGGTGGAGCGACGGGTGTTCCCCAAGGATCAATGACGTCGAGCATCGAGTGTAAGCGAGTGTAGCAGCAAATAACGCGGATCTATGGAACCTGCCAGATAAATATACGAAGATCAATGTGGATGCAGAGCAGTTCGAGCAAATCTCTACTTTTCGACTCCCGAATGGTATGTTATCTCATGCGGAGCTTGGCTGGGCTAGGCCCCAGCTCCTCCTTCCCGAAACCTAACTTGATCAAGATTGTGAAGCTCGATGTGCGACAGTCTATCGATTTCGACGCAGACTCCTTCGTCCAACAAACGAGGGTCAGCCCAAGCTCCTCAAGAAATATGGGAGCTCGTCATCGAACACCTGGCCGACGACAAGAAGGCGCTGAACGCATGCTCCGAAGTGTGTCACCGATTTTTGCCTCGAAGCCAGGCGCTGTTGTTTGCCTATTGGGATCCGAGGGATGAGATGGAGGAGAGGACTATCCTGAACATCAAGCGATTAGAAGACATCGTACTGGTCTCCCAACATATTGCAACCCATATCCGCAAGTTCTGGGTCTTTCTCGGACCCCCTGACGACTCTGGAGCCGCGACGAGGTACCCAGACGGTGCGATGGGCCTCATCGCACGACTGTTGCCAAAACTTCCGAACATCCACGTCATGTACCTTCTACCACTGTCCCCAGGTGCCATGGCGGATTGGAAGGATGACGGCGCCGTATCCCGCAGTCTCAAGGCAGCTTTACTAGCTACGCTCCAGCGCGCGGTAATATTCGAGTGCGTCACCCTCAAGTCTCTGCGGAATTTTGACCTCGCCTTCCTGAGCGCTGCATCTCGCATTCGGAGGCTGGACATGCAGTCGGTCCCGGTGCCGCAGGAACCACTTACCTTTCTCGACCAATCACCCTCCTTCGATCCGAACCCGAGAAGGAAGTGTGTTGTGGGGTCCATGATGTATTACTTCGCGACAGGCCGCTGTCCTGAGCGGTTCGTGAACTATTGTCTGGACCACCCTGATAGCCCCCTGGAGTTGGGACAGCTTAGGTCTCTGAGTCTCCGTGACCCTACGGACTCCACCGGAGCAAACCCGATATCGAGGTTGCTTCAATTCTGCGCATCCACACTCGTCAATCTCACGCTCGCGTATAACTCGAGAATAGGCGAGTACTTTCTTAACCTCCGACTCAATTCGAGAACTTATGCATGATCGCCCGTCCACTAGCGCCCAACGCCGAGTTGCCGAACCTTCTGCCGCTCAAGAGTTTAGTGGCGCTTACATTCGAGCTTTCCCTCAACTACTACTCAAACGCGAGCCATGAAGAAAGGTGCAACCAAGCGATCCAAATACTTCAATCCCTTCCAGCCGAGTCCCAAGTCTGCAAGATCGCCCTCATCTTTTATGTCGAGTATCTCTACCGAATGGTGCACGGAGCCGAAGTGGGAATGTACGATTGGCGCGTCGTTGATGACGCGTTGTTTTCCGCAAAGGCGCAACTTCCATATTTACACCGTTTCGAGGTGGTGTACAAGTATGCGAGCGGCGGTTTACCGCAAGGAAGACCCTCTCAAGACTTCAAGGAGGAAGACTTCCCTCGGTGCAGGGGATTAGAGGTGACGGTCACACGGCTCGACCTGTGTTGCAGTCCTTAACGAGTGCAGTTAGGTCGCTGTTTCTCGACGGTTCGAGTTTTTCTGACAAGAATTCCTAATACCACTACTTTTCATTTTATGGGTATCAAGTTACCGATTTGGGTCATTCTTCGGGAATGGCATTTTGGGTTTGGAGTTGGATTGATTTACTTCTCATTTCTTGAACGGTGCGCTTTCGGATTATACGGCTATTTTGGAAAGGGATTTAGACATTTGTGTGTTTATTTTGAGTGATTATTGGTTGTGCAACAGAAGCTGCAAGAAATCTTGATACTGAGCAGTATGGTGGTCCGTGCTGGACAAAAATACAATGTAAATGAATTTCAGTGATGATTGTGGCAGAACGCGGAAGAAAGTCAGGGAATGGTCACAATAGCCAAGGAACGGTCATGATCGTCAAAGAATGTTGATGTTCTTTGACGATCGGCACAGAAAGTTACCTTTTTTGGCAGGATGTTAACAATAATCAAAGAATGACACCCCGCAGAATGTCACTGTTCGTCACCGATCTGTTGACAGAGGCCAAAACAAATGAGAATTTGTCTTGACATGGCCTGGCCTATTCTTCCAGTTTCTTCAAGAATCTCTGAGACCCCGAACTGCCTCCATGACGCCACACCATGTGTGGGTTTCATATGCCAGGCCTACGCCGGCTGCTCTGCTTGCATGCTGACTAACAGTCGGGCCGTGGGGACCCACCAGTCTTAGTCAGCGGGGAAGAAATGCCTCGCTGACTAAGATTGGCAGGGTCCCATGGTGCGCTGACTAAGTAGGGCTCGGACCGCCAAAAAGGACGGTTCGTCACGGTGTGACGCAGACGCCCCAAACGAGCGAGCCGCGTTGCCGACCCGTGGGGGCTCAGCCCACGGCGGGCACGAGGTGGGCGCGAGATGGGCTGGCTCCCCGCTTAGCGTCCCATCACTCAAACCAAGGCCGCGTGGGCCTGATATGGTGCGCGAGCGCTGAGCGTGCACATCGCCGAGGGGAAATGAGGAAAGGAAGGGGAGAAGAATAAGGAAGGAATAGAAAATGTAAATAACTTACCTAAATTTTGATACCATATTGACAATGAAGGGGTGCATTGTGCTGTTCTTGAAATGGGGTGTGTTGGTGGGAGAGGAAGAGAGGAAAGCTAGGATGACTTGATGTGTATAGATATTGTGTCCTTGACATGCACGCGTTGTAATTTACGTACGTTGATCCGAACTGGGAGCTTGAGCGAGGTGAGCTGCCATGCCAGTGTGACACTTGCAGGGAAGCCGCTCGAAAAACCATCTTTGATGAACTGGCCATCAATTTCCGAAGCCGTCACGGGCCACAAAAAGGACGGTTGGTCAAAAAAAGGACAGTCGGGGCACGTCTTTTCATCAAATTTTAACTATATCTGGACTGACAACCAACAGTTCATCAAATAAAAGACAGTCTCCAACCATCAAAAGACAGTTTCGCTAGTCGGATCATGCATTTATGTATTTACAGAGCGTTCTAAATAAAGCTATTATGTATGTAATTCTAGGCCTCAAGCCCCCTCGGCTGCAGCACGAGCTGCTGTGCGTTGGGCCTTGCTGATGGCAATGCGCTCCTCCTTTGTCTTGTAGGAGTACGTGCAAATAATGTTGCTTGCCTAATATTTATGCCACAGGTGTGATTAGCCTGAGTACCACATATGAAGACTGGGTATTGACGTACCCAACAGAGGACCGCCTCATGGTCTTCTTGGCTTCCTGGTGCATGTGTTGGCAGCGGCGGTGGGGTGCACGCTGCACAGACAGGAGGGGCCGGGGCTGGGGCAGGTCCCACTTTTTTTGCAGCACCCTGACGGAAGGCAGGACCGTGCCGAGCGCCGAGTGCGTAGCTGCAC